GTTGGGGCAGGCTTCCCTCAGGTAGAAAATCAGCCCATCTGGTTTGAGTTTTAAGTACTCCACCAACTGGGAAAGGGATGGGAAGAAAAAGAGATAATTGTGAGGAGAAAATAATTTTTTTTTTCTCCCCCCCTATTATTGTTGAAGGCAACTTTTGTGGCTTAGGGCAATGATTCCTCTCAGATTTATGGCAGGCAGGGACCAGCCTGTTTCTCTGTTTCTGTCCTCTATTTGTGCACTCAGGGATGTCCCAGGGTGTGATTGCATCCCTGGAGATCTGCCAGAGCTGGGAAGAACTTGGGAAATTCGATAAGGGCCAAAAAAAAGACAAAATCTCCAGTCTGAGCAGGGCATGTTCAGTGCACTGTTATTGTTGTGCCAGCCAGGAAGGGTTTTAGCCCTGAAGTGTGGGATAAATCCTGGGAGAAAGCAGATCCTTTCCCAGGGGAACTCCAGGGTTTGTGCTGGGGATCCCAGGCAGTTGTTGGTGGCAGCACAGAGGGGACATCAGCCAGGCTGGGGACAGCCAGCACCAGGCCCCAGGGACACCAGGCTTCCCCTTCCCCTCCTGGCTGGCTCAGGTTGCAGCTGCAATCAGAGCCTGGCACGGTTCTGTTGCCGTAAAAATGCCCCCAAATCTTTGTTTTCAATAAAATTCTGAGTGAAAACAGCCCTAGGAATTCAGAAAATTCAGCAAAATGGGGTTGCTGTCCCTCAGACAGCCCTAGCCAGGAGGATGCTCCAGCATTCACTCCCTGGATAATTTTAGTTAATGGTTTAACTCTTAAATTACTTGTTTTAATTAATTAATCCCAACCAATATATGTATTAATTATAAATAGTGTGTTATTCTTCAATTACTCTCAGCCAGTATGGAACAAGGTTGCCATGAGCTGATTTTGCAGGAACACAGCTTGGGAAAAATAGCTGGAATTTTAAGTTTTGATTAACTAACTCTGATATACTCCAATGAACAAAGCCTGGGAGAGGAAGATGGATTGAGGTTGGACATCTGAAATGCAGAATTTATGGACCAGAAGGAGACTTTGGAAAAACCAGAAGAAAAAGAAGAGACTAAAAAAGTTTAGGCATTGGAGAGTCCCTGCCGGAGAAAAAAAGGATTAAAAAGATTAAAAATATGGTGTAATTAGTAGAAAAAGAGAAATTAATAACCAATAGATGATAGAATACTAATTAATGAAAGAGAATTAGCACAGACTCATGGACTATTCTGAGTTGGAAGGATCAATGGTGATGATTAATAATTAAGTGATGGGGATTAAACCCACAACCGTGGTTATGATGTCATTTAGAACCAATGAACATTAATTTCTTTTTCTATATAAATAGTTATAAATATGTAAAATAATAGAAATGTTATCTTTATAAATAATAGAAATATAAATAATATGTAAATGTAAATATAAATATAAAGTGATAAAGGTTTAGATCAGGATCTGTGTGGAGGCCAGAATTTTGTCAGCCACGCACACAAACCCTGGCCAGGAATAAAACAATTCCTGGCTCACTGACACTGAAAAGATGGTGTTAGAGAGGTTTATTTATCCTGGTGATTTTGAGGGATTTGGTAACACTTCAAAGCAAGGAAAAGGTGCCTCAATTTCTGAGGACACCCAGCCTGGTACCTGCCAGAGTGTGTCAAACTTGGTGCCCTCAGGAATGGAATATTTCCCAGATTTATCATGATCCACCTTGTAGTGATACACAGTCTTGCCATAGATGAGGGACAGGGCGTAGGCACGGTTCTCCTTCTTTTCTCTCAGCCTGGCAGGAAGGAAAATTATTCATTAATTCTTAAAAGCAGCTCTTGGTTTTACTCTGAGGATTGTCAGTGTAGGTGGTGAGTGGGCACGTGGAGAGGTGTCCCTGCATCCCTGTATAAAATGCATGAATTTTATATATTCCATTCCAAAATAAAATGCAAGAGGCTGTCTGGAGCTATTTTAAATTTTAAATAACAGACCTGATCCAGTACCTGCTGCCTCAGGTGAAAAAACCCTCCATTAAGGGAAAAACTTCCAGAGAGGCCAAAACTCCTCTCCAAACATTAAGGCAGACCTGACCCCCCTAAAAGCCTAAAGCTGGGTTCAGTGGAATTGTCACCTTCCCATCCCCCTCTGCAGAGGCTGAGGAGGGATCTTCACCTCCAGTTTTCACCCCTCTCACAGAACCAGAGAATCTCAAAATCGTTTCAGTTTGAAAAGACCTTAAAGTCACCCTGTTCCAGTTCCTCCCACTGTCCCAGGCTGCTCCAATCCCAATGTCCAGCCTGGCCTGGGACACTGCCAGGGATCCAGGGGCAGCCACAGCTGCTCTGGGCACCCTGTGCCAGGGCCTGCCCACCCTGCCAGGGAACAATTCCTGTCCAATATCTCATCTAAACCTACTCTTAATTTCAAACCATTCCTCCTTGTCCTATTGCTCCAGCTCCTGATGAACTGTTCTCCAGCTAATTCTTTCTTTCCCTAACTCATCCAGGAGAAAACTGAATTATATTAAGGCTGTCTCACCAGAGCAGAGATGCAGAAAAAACTTTCTCCTGTGTTTTCTGGGCCTTGCATTGCCAGCCTGTCAGTGTTTCATATCTTCCCCCACTGAACCCTGTGTCCCTCATCATCCTGTGCACAGCAACCAAACTTTATAGAGATATTGAAACATAAGAAACAAATGAAACTCCAGATTGGCTCTTCATGGGAGGGACAGACACTGGACAAGAACAGATTTGGGGCTCAGCCCATGTTTGAAATACCTGTAGCCACTCTGAGCACATTCAGCTACACCTCCTCTGCCACGTGAAACCAGTAACAGCAGGGCAGTGGGGTGGGGAATGGTAAAAAATCCAGGGATCCCAGCATGTTGCAGGGGTTTGGATACTCACAGGAATTTCCCATCAGGCTGTGCCCCCGAGTAGAGCCTCCTCTCTGCTTCCTCCCGGCTGATATTGCCGTGGTACCAGGGCATCCTCTCGTGGGCTGTGGTGGCCACGAGCTTCTCCACCTGAGGGGCCTGGCTGATGATGGCCTGTTCCAGGGCATCCCCCTGGGAAAGAGCAGCAAAAGAGACCTGCTGCCATCCTGCTGCCCTGCTGATGGCTTCAGCACAGGAAACTTGGAACGTCTCGTAATTCATTGAGACCCAACTGTGGCTGAATTCTGTTCTGCTGCACAGCAGAATTCCTGGCTTATCTCAGCTGACCTAATCTCTTAAATCCAGCTGAAGTCCTTTGACTTTGGTGAGGGAAGAGAGAAGGCACCACGTTTATGTGGGAATCTTAATGCTGGGCTTGTGGGGTTTCATTCAGCCTTGTGTTCCTGGTCGGTGGCAAGTTGGATCTGAGTCACCACTGTGTCCTGGCAGCCCAAAGGGCCACCGTGTCCTGGGGACACCAGGCCCAGGGAGGGATTGTCCCACTCTGCTCTGCACTGGGGCAGCCTCACCTCCAGTGCTGGGGGCACCTTGGGCACCACAAGATCAGAAGGACCCAAAGCTGTTGGAGAGTGTCCAAAGGAGGGACACGGAGCTGGGGAAGCTCTGAGGAGCAGCTGAGGGCACTTGGCTCATTCAGCTGGAGCAGAGGAGACTGAGGGGAGACTCCTCGGGGGCTGCAGCTCCTCCCGAGGGGAGGCAGAGGGGCAGGGGCTGAGCTCTGCTCTGGGCCAGGGCCAGGAGCCCAGGAAGGGCTGGAGCTGTGCCAGGGCTTGGCATGGAGCTCAGGGAAAGGTTCTTCCCCCCGAGGGTGCTGGGCACTGCCCAGGCTCCCCAGGGAATGGTCCCGGCCCCAAGGCTGCCAGAGCTCCAGGAGCGTTTGGACAGCGCTCTCAGGGATGCTCAGGGTGGGATTGTTGGGGGGTCTGTGCAGGGACAGGGGCTGCACTGATCATCCCTGAGGGATCCAGCTCAGGATATTCCATCACTCCATGATTTTCTTTAGAGCACGACCTTCCTGGTGCCCCTGCCCTCCTGGCTGCTCTGCACCCACAGGACCTGTCGAGGTCGGTGCAGTCTGGCAATCTCGGGGGTGAGACCCTGAATTCCTTCCCCGGGCTCGCTCCGGTGTTAAACCATTACTGTCCCTTTGCCAGGAGGTGGCGATGTCCTTTGTGTTATCTGCAGGTGGCCACAGATCTGCTCTGGGGGAAACCCTACAGAATCCACGGTTCTGGGAGAGAATTCTGCTACTAAATACCTCATTTGATCACACAACACCTCATTCAGCTATAGAAACCCTACGGAGCACCTTGTTCACCCTACAGATTACCTCATTCTGTCAAACACATTTGGTGTAAATAGGCCAAATTTAGAGAGCTTCTGTAGAAGGGCTCCATAAGAAGACTGCCTGAGCCATACTTCTCTGAGGACTTAAAAGAAAATACAGAACTCCAGAATGATTTAGGCTGAAAAAGACCTCCAAGGTCATTGAGTCCAACCTGTGCCCCATCCCCACCTCATCACCAGCCCAGAGCACTGAGTGCCACATCCAGGCCTTCCCTGGGCACCTCCAGGGATGGGGACTCCAAACCTCCCTGGGCAGCCCCTTCCAACAAAACAACAAAATGACCCCTGGAAGTGTCTGAGGAGCCAAGGTGGCAGCAGGCAGAAAGAAATTAAGTCCATGGCTGCCTGTAGGACCATTTAGGATTCTATTTATGCATATATTGTAGATATTCCAGTCTGCAATAAAAATGCAGGAACCTGTATGTGGCTATTTTAAAGTTTATATAACACACAGACCTGATCCCCCTGCCTTGGTCTCATGGGTAAAACCTTCACTGGAAAAAAAATCCAAACCTCTGCAGAGGCAAAAATTCCACTCCACAGAGTGAAAAAAACCAGAGCAAAAGTCTAAGTCTGGTTTCATTTCATCTTCAGCACAATGTTGGGAGGCACAGGCACCTCACATATGGAGAGATACTCCCAGAAATCACAGAATATTCTGAGTTGGAAGGGACCCACAAGGATCATCAAGTCCCATTATTTAGTAAATGGAGACGTGGGGATGGAACCCACAACCTTGGCATTATTAGCACCATGCTCTGACCAACTGAGCCAATCAATTGGGATGGAGAATCTGCTGCCAGCAGCACCAGGGACACATCCATGGCATGAGGGTCATGTCTTTATGTGCCTCTGGAGCTCCATGGTTGGGTTTTGGGATGAGTTTGTTTAGTTCTGGGATGGGTTTGTTGGGGTTTGGGATGGGTTTCTTGAGGTTTGGGATGGGTTTCTTGAGGTGTGGGATGGGTTTGTTGGTGTTTGGGATGGGTTTGTTGGTGTTTGGGATGGGTTTCTTGAGGTTTGGGATGGGTTTGTTGGTGTTTGGGATGGATTTGTTGGTGTTTGGGATGGATTTGTTGGTGTTTGGGATGGGTTTGTTGGGGTTTGGGATGGGTTTGTTGGGGTTTGGGATGGGTTTGTTGGGGTTTGGGATGGGTTGAGTTGTTGGCTTTTGGGATCAGAGCTCTGGTCTAAGGCAGGGATCATCCCAAGGGCTGCAGAGGAGAAGGACACTTGGGGGAAGGCCTGCAAAGTGAACTCCAGCTGTTCCAAGGACAGCTCTAAAGGCTTGGGAAGAAGTTTAGACCAGCATGTGGAGAAGAAACTGGGAAAGACCCGGATTCAGAGCCCTGGCAGCGCCAGCACCCTCCAAGGAGAGGAACCTCACTGTGCTGCGCTGCAAGCAGGACACGCCAGTGCCAGAGGGGTCACGGGTCCCCACCCCACCCCCGGGGTACCCCAGTACCTCCAGTTTCCAGGTCTGCCGCACGTATTCCCGCACCATGTTGTCCCTCATGCTGTCGAAGACGCCGGGCTGGGGCTCCACGCCGCTGGGGCGGTTGCAGGGTTTGCGCAGGGGGCAGCAGAGCCCGTCGGCGTCCTTGGAGTAGAACTCGCAGAGCTCCTCGGGCCCGCAGTGCGCCTTGCCCCCCAGGATGGCGTAGGTGCCGTTGAGCTGGCGCTCGATGGGGTAGTGGTAGAACTGCAGGTCGCACACCATGGACAGCACGTAGCCGCCCAGGCTGCGCAGGCACTGCCGCAGCAGGAACAGCCCGTCCGCCATCCCCGCCAGCTTCAGGTGCTCCTCGGCCTCCGAGCGCGCGATGCTGCCGTAGTAGAAGGGCAGGTGGGCAGCAGCGTCCGGCATCTCCTCCCTGCCTTTCCTCACTGCTCACGCGCTGCCTGGGCACGGCCTGGCAGGGAAAATCGGTCCCTGACGCCATCAGTGTAAAATGGTTTCGTTGGGGTTCACACTTCCCTGTCTGGAGGTTCTCCTGCTGCGTCTCTGTGAGGTCATTTCAAACTCACAGTGTCCCACATCCCTCTATTCTGCCCTTACCGGAGCTGGGAAGTGTAAATAAAAATCTACCTGATCTTGATTTAAAGACCCCAAGCAAGAGAGAACCCACTCAATCTTGGTTTATAGATGCCAAGGAATAGAGAAACCTGATTTAAAGACCCCAAGCAAGAGAGAATCCACTCAATCTTGGTTTATAGATGCCAAGGAATAGAGAAACCTGATTTAAAGACCCCAAGCAAGAGAGAATCCACTCAATCTTGGTTTATAGATGCCAGGAAATAGAGAAACCTGATTTAAAGACCCCAAGCAAGAGAGAATCCACTTGATGTTGATTTATAGGTGCCAAGGAATAGAGAAAGCACCTGATCCAGATTTAAAGACCCCAAGCAAGAGAGAACCCACTCAATCTTGGTTTATAGATGCCAAGAAATAGAGAAACCTGATTTAAAGACCCCAAGCAAGAGAGAATCCACTTGATGTTGATTTATAGGTGCCAAGGAATAGAGAAAGCACCTGATCCAGATTTAAAGACCCCAAGCAAGAGAGAATGCCCCAAATCCTACAGTGAGTTCCTCCTGTGCTTGATTACTTTCACTATTAAAAATGTGCTCCTTAAATCCATCCTGATGTTTTTAGCCTTGACTTCCTACCATTTTCTCTCCAGCCCTGTTCACAATAAAAGGAAATTCTTTGGCCTCTCTGAATAAATGAGTTTTGCCATGGACGTCTAGAAGGCCAAGACCTTACATGCATTAAAACACGAGGTGGATATGAAATGTCTAAAACAACATTTAGATAAACAACTGCACCAAGCACAGCGAAAGGAGAGAAACCCAAGTGCTTCTGGGCAGACATCGACCGTCAGTCAGCAGGAGCAAGAAGAAACCTTCCTTGAATTGTTTTTTAAACAATCTGTGGAATTTTTCCCTACAATACCTGGCTCTGGATGGTTCCTGATGCTCTGATCCCCTTGGCAGAGAGGGCCCTTCGTTGACCAAGTCCCTGCAGAGCCCCTGGTGCCGAAGAGCTTTAGGACTTGTGTCTGTGCAGGGCTCGTATCTCTATCTTGAATCATCGAAAATCCCACCCAGAGGGTGTGACAGAGCCCAGTTTGCTGTAGTCAATGGAAACATTATCGTGACCAAAGGGTCTCATTTGTTCCCCAGAGCCTGAAATTTGGGGTTGTTCCTGCGCAGACGATGACCCGAAAAAGATCAGAGAGATTTTCTCCATCTGCGCCTCCTGCAAATGCGTCACTCATGTGAGGAGCAAAGAAACATCAGATTTTGGGGCAGCACACTGAGTGTTTGCCTTGATTCTTCCCAATTTGACTCTTCTGGACATGATGGGAGACGTCGCTTCCCCATGGGCTGAGCCCACTGCTGCAGCCAGAGCTGTGCCTGGGCTTGTGGTCAGCCCTGTCCTGGTGGCCAGCCCTGCTCTGGTCACCCTGCTCTGGTCAGCCCTGCCCTGGTGGTCAGCCCTGTCCTGGTGGTCAGCCCTGCTCTGGTCAGCCTTGTCCTGGTGGTCAGCCCTGTCCTGGTGGTCAGCCCTGCTCTGGTCA